AACTCGTTTATATATACCCTACTATAAGCATCTGCCATTGATATGTCTGCATACCAAATCTCAAGTTCGTGGGACTTATGGTTCCGAAGTTATAGCTGAAAAAAAAATCAACACCTATGGGATGTGCCACGCCCCTTTTGCAAACTCGTTTATATATACCCTTCTATAAGCACCTACCGCCGATATGTCTGCATACCAAATTTCAAGTTCATGTGACTTATGGTCTAGAAGTTATGACTGATTAAAAATTTCACGCCTATGGGAGGTGCCACGCCCCCTAGTCGGATCCCAATTTTTTTCACCCTATTATAGGACCAGGTGTCATGGCAATACTCTGTCAAAATTATGCTCGATTCTGTCCGTCCGTTTAGACAGCAACCTGTCACATACATACATACTTTCACAAATACCTTTTCGAAGGGGCAGTAAAATCCATGGGTTTATTGCTCTATCAAAAAGATATTGACAAAACACACTTCTAAAATACTGTATACTAGGGATGCGTATCGACAATGAAAATTCGGTATATGATATCGTGGTATTCTAAACTCACAATATCCGATACCAATATATCTACTATCGATATCGATATATTGAACATCGGAAATATCGAAAACGAAATGGTTAATAAAGATATATTGTTTAAGCAAACGACGTATGTTTGGAATTAAATTGCAAATAAGCATAAGTAAGATGCACTTTATCTGTTTTGAAAAAATAGCAACCAGAGTTCAGCAACATTCTCTTCACAAGCAAGTCTAGTACTTTCAAAGAAACACAGCTTTTCATATGTATAGGCCAGTATGCAGCTCTTAAGAAAAGCAAAAAGTTCATAAAATGTATAAATGAGAGCTGCATGCTAGCCCTATGTATGTATTTCTAAAAATGAAGTACAAATAGTTCTTGAGAGTTGCAAACTTATTTAAGAAACTTTGATATTTTTATGAATTTTTGTTTTTCATGGTTACTATCAGGGTTGCCACTGACGAAAAAAATATCTACCAATAACTTGTTTATAATTATTTTAACAAAAACCATAGTTTTGTTATTTTTATTTATTTATTTTAATTAATACTATATTTTTTATATTTTTTTTTTAGTTATTTCAATAAGAATTAAACTTATTTTTAAGAACTCTTTATTTAACTAGTTATACGGTATTTGAGTCATATTATTGATTTCATTATTTAAAAAACTTCAACTCGAGTTATTATAGACAAATACTGTGACTCAAAAAAGTGATTTTTTTTTAATATTCGCAATATTTTTCGAGTAAAAATTTTTTATTGCTTTAACTAAATCCAAAAAAATTGAGGATTCAAATTATATACAACATATAGAAAAATTCCAAAAATTTTCGTCTAAATTTCGAATTTTTTACTCTGAATTTTTAGAACAATTTAAGGTATGGAGTTTTAAAGCAAATGCAAATGAGTATAGCCAACAATGTGCTGCTTAAAATTCCCGTTAATTTTATTTTTTTTCCATTAATAAAAAATGGCGTTGATTTATCTTTTTTGCGAACAATCATAGCGTGTAATTACATACCTGTCAATTTTTTCTTTATATTTAAATAATCATTTAAAATATTTAGGCAATCAAAAGATCCTCGGGATTCCAGTAAAATTAGGTTTGAATGGAGCGCGATATGTTCGCCTTATATCGATATACATTTATACGTATGTAATTATATAAAAAGTATGTAAAGAAATTTATAATATATTTAAAGATAAGTACGAAAACTAAATCGGGAACGGAAAGTTCATCAAAAATCTACCAGAATGAGAAAAAAATTAGCTTTTTACCAACCCAAATTTTTTCTACCAAATTTGGTAACAATTTACCAAAGTGGGAACCCTGGTTACTATGCCAAAAGCTGTTTTGAGAGAACGAAAAATTTTTCCAACTAGTCCATTTCATTTTAAATTCAGAAGCCCAGAATAAATACGTAGGGAAAAGTTTCCGATATTTCAGATAGCATCAATATCGTATCGCAGCTCGATATAAATTAACCGATATGATGAACAACGATATTGAGTTTCGTATCGGTATCGCGCATCCCTACTACATACTATGAACACATAGAATACAGCTTTGAAACTGCATAACACCACGGCGGTCCCCGTTCGCGCCGTAGGCTACCCGCTGGTACGACGCACCAATGAGGAACTAGTGAATTCATCGGATCTACCAGAATACCAGTAATGCTGTTCATACCATTACATAAGTCGATAGAATACGTCGACCTAGTTAATTCACCATTAGCGATCTCAGCGTTCTGATTGCTGCTTGGCTATCAGAGTAGATATTTACCCTCCTAGTTGGCATGAGGTTGGTGCGCAGCCAATCGGCTGCCTCTTTCATAGCTGCCACTCCTGCTTGAAAGGCGCTGCAGAGGTCCGGCAGTCTGAACATAAATACTATTGTGAGTTCTTGACAGTAGACACCTCCGCCGATTCTCTTGTTCAGCTTCGGTCGGTTCGTGAAGATGTTTATTGGACCTCTATTCCAGAGACTGTCATTCTTCCATTTGCTCCTTGGAGGAATGTGCGGGGAGAAGGATCCGTTTGGAGCCAGCTTCGGAACACTCCGATTCAATTCTTACGGTAGGAAGTTGATGTTCTCGAAAATAGTGGAGGTCCAGTACGCCGGGTTGATAGAGAACCCAAAGCTTTTGAGCCTAACGGATGAGCGAACCGCCGCTTCTTTGCCTGCGATGTCAACAGATGCAACGCTGAACATAGCATTTAGCGCTAGATTTGGAGAGGTCCGGAGCGATCCGTTGATTCCAACGAGGTCCACCCTTTGCACGCGCTGTAGCTTTCTAGCAAGAGTAGACTTTTCCAGTAAATTCCACCAGACAATGGCCTCATATAACATGATTGGCTTGATTATGGTTTCAAATAGCCAGTATATCACTTTTGGGCAGTGGCCCCATCTTTTTTCCATGACATCTTTACAGCAGTAAAGAGGCAAAGGCTCTTCAATATTTGGCTTCCATGTTGACTTCCTGTCCAGGATCACGCCCAAGAACTTGAGCCAGTCAGAGAGAACAAGGGAAAAGCACAAGCCTTATTTATTTAGAAATATTTAGCGATAGAAATTTAGCGTGATGATTTTTAGTACCCCACTGCAGTAGGACCAAAAATAATCACCCTATTATGGTTGCCGTCGTCGGCGTCGATGTCAATTTTTTCGCCAAAAAATAGCCGTCATCAGTCCAACTCCGGTTTTGCACACACAAGTTTTGCGAAATTTCAAGACCCTACCCTCTAATTTTATTAGTTTTTATGAGAAATATTATTGCCTATTTTTATAGATTTTTTAAAGGTCACTTAGAGATGGCGAACTGTCGAATTAGGGCAGAAAAGATGATTTTGTAGATTTATGAGTTTTTGAATGACTATTTTTGATTCGATTTCAAAGATGGAATTTGATATGAGAAGAGTATATATAGACCTTTAAAATTGTATATAACAATCTATTGTCGGAATTGACTTGTTGGGATTTTTTATCTGGGATTTCCATTACGGAACCAATTACGATTCCGCGCAAAGTATACTGAATTTTTTTTATAAAACTCAGTGGGGATACTAATGGAGGTCTTCCTTAACTTTATTATCACTTTCACAATGTTGTTGCTAATAGTACTTAAGTTATTTGTTGTTAAAATATCCCCCCTACTATCACTATATTTTATTATAAAACTACACTTATCACTTTTATTTATACAAATATACTATCCTTAAAAGGTTTGCGTGCGTTTGTAATTCTTTAATATACAATTATTAATTAGTTAATTAAGTAAAACGCGTTTATAAATGTCTTCACAAGCTTTAACACATTTCACAAACAAGCAAAATAACAATGGCTGACAGTAACACAAAATGTATGCTACCATACGTTAAAAAAATACTCCACAAATAAGTGCGTATAATTACGGGGTATAAGTGTACAATACGTACACTGCTCTTATTAAAAATAATAATATTAGGATCGATAGGGGTCTTACTCCTGATCATAACGGTATANTAATGCATCTTGATGAACTGCCCGTCGAGGATCAGCCATCATGGCAAGAAGAATATTTTCTTGAAGTGCGAGGTATGCATTTGTCTGAATGGATGAATAAACTATAGTTTGGGATTAGTCTCAAAGACATGACCTTGACCATTAGCAATGTAAGACTACGTTCTGACCCTATACTGCATGCCAATATAGACTGTAAGTATATACTTATGTAACTATTTCTATGATTTTGTTGTTGGCTATGACCTATGCTTCTTTAAAAAATATAGAAATTTAATTTACTTAGATACAGTAGACACAGCTGAATTAAATCGGTAAAAATCAATGGTGAAATTATTTTGACTTCAACTGCACATTTGATTCGTATTATATACTTTCAGCGCTTTCTAATAAAAAAAGTTTTGCTTTGAAATCTTGGATCTCTCATCTTTCATGGAGAGGTACATCATACCTTTAAAGTCAGCTAAATCCTCATAAAAAATCGGAGCTTAAATAAAACAGTAAAATTACTGGTTTTATTTTATTTGAATATTATCTACTACTAACTTTTATCGAATACTTATATTTACATAAATACATATAGACGCAAATAAAATGCTCAACTGGAAATTTTGTCAACTTAAATCTTCCACAGTTTTACATAGGCAGTTAAAATAAACAAATTAAATTTCCAGAATTTTGCTGCGTAAACATTTTTTGTTAGTGCGAATTTCGTTTCATGCAAAATCACGCGAATACCTGATATTCCTGATACGAAACTAAGCGGGAGTTACTATATTGTTGTGAATGCATAGTAGGGGAGTTCATGATTTGTAGCATTTTAGGCGTAAAGTTGCTACGCAGCTTTTCCAATAACAAAACGCGTGCTAGATGGCTACGTAGCTACTTTGCACCTAAAATTCTTACCGCTGAACTAAAAGCGAAAAAAATATTTGTTTGTAGATACACACATGCATACATTCTATATATATAGCCAGTTTGGAATAAGTCATAATGAGCTCATTAAGGAATTAAATCGGAATATTTAAATATTAAATAAATTAAAGCAAATATTAACAATAGTCTAGTTAACTACTTAATCGACAATATTTTAAATGTTAGCACTCATACATACATATATGTATGTACATACAAATAAATACATACATATGTATGTATGTATGTGTATGAATATTCCGCAAATCTTAAAATCATTCAAGGGCGCTTGTGTTCTTGTCAGAACTATCAACAAACTAAACATCGGTATATAAAACCGCGAAATACTTTGTAATGCTTAGTATTTAGTTAGTTTGCTGAGTGGGAAGCGTGCTAGTTTTATTGGTGAAGATGTTCAAGTTTTTTTCAATATTGCTCGGCTTAGTGCCATTTCTTGCACTTCAAGTGTTGGCTGGTTTTCGTAAGTGTTAAAAATAAAAGTACTTAAAAAAAAGGCTAGGAAGAAAGTGAAATTCCTATTTGCATTTGAAGCAGCAAAGATGTGAAAAATATTTTAGTGGTACCGTTTAAATTATGAAAATTACATATGTACTCTGGAGTTTCAACTGTATAGCGGACTTCCCCATTAGAACAAAAAACAACGCAAAAGAAAGACATTTACATAATTGATAACACCGTGCAAATAAAACAAAAAAAAAATCAAAACACGCGAACCAATCAATATAATCCCAAAACTATGTGCCAAATATAGTAAAACTGCGTTTTTAGTTTTTCTCTATGATGTTAGAATTTTTTTTAAATGACTTTGTAATTTCAATGTTATGATTAGATGCACTAATTACACAGGTTTACAAAAAAAAAGTTTCTTCATATTGAACCAAACCTCTGTAATAATAATAATAGATTGACGCTTACACATATGCTAGTGTTTGGCCGAGCTTCTCCTCCGATTTGTGGCGTGCGCCTTGATGTTGTCCCACAAAGCGGAGGGACCTACAGTTTTACGCCGACTCCGAACGGCGATTGTATTTTTATGAGAAGCTGTTTTTCATGGCAGAAATACACTCGGAGGTTTGCCATTGCCTGCCGAGGGACGACCGCTGTTAAGAAAAAACCTTTTTTTTTATTTTTTGGGATGTTGCTTTCACCAGGGTTTGAACCCAGGTGCTGCGGAGTGGAAGCGCGCACTGTTTACCACTACACCACAGCGGCCGACCAAACTTCTATATCCCTATGTTATTCGACGCTCTGAATGCGAATCAGAGATCTGTTAACCTCCATCCCGCCAGGTTCGAGGTCATTTGAAGGTCAAGTAGGGAAAAATTCATTGAATAAACCTTAAAATTTAATAAATTCTTCTAAATTTTACCTTGGGATGACTTCTAGATGATCTTGAAGAACTCGGATTTAGTAACAACAAAAACAAACAAACAAAATTATTCTGATTGAATAAATTGTTTGTCCTATTTGACCTTCAAATGACCTCGAACAGGACGTTAACAGACCTTTTGTATTCAGCGCGTCGAATAACATAGCGATATAGCGGTTTGGTTCAATATGCAGAAACTTTTTTGTAAACCTGTGCTATTTAAAACTTTCAGTGCAATGTGGAATAACACTGTGGGTATCCATCGAAAGAAAAAGTTCTGTAGAATTTAAAAAATTTTAATTTTTTGGTTCACAAGGACGAATAGTTAGCTATTGAAAATGCGAAAAACAAAAAAAATCAGAATTTCTATATTTGACCCATGGTTTCGCGGATATTTTAATTTTTTTTTTCTTGTAAAATTGGCTGTCGCACGGTGTAATTATAGCAGGTTATTGTGGCTGCCCTCATCTATCGTTAGAAGGATGCAAACTTAGGCCGCCCGCTATGGGCGATATCGTAGAGGAGGCTGCTTTTATTCTTCCCTTCGTTAGGAGCTAATCCAAATCGTAGTTCTGATAAAGGTCATTAAATCGTAGCAGCTATTTGTACTTAATTTAGTCAAACACTCTAGAAAGTAGTGATGGAACGAACCTCGGCGGCTTCCTCGTCAATGCAGGGCAGTGATATATCGTCGATGATTTGCAAAACCGCCTAAATCGCCGAAGTGGACAAAATGAGATTTCTGATGTTACTCGGACCAGGATTTGGACTTACATACAGTGATTCAAACAAATGTTCAGGTGTTGATTATTTTTTTTTATATTTACAATGTTTTTCAAGTTAAATTGTTTGCTGTTTTTCCATTGATATATTTATTGTCCAAGCTTTATATAACATTTAGGAAAATTCAACAAAATTTCATCAAAACCTCGAGCTGTATAATTTGAATTATGAGAAAATTTCTGGGTATGCAGTTTTATAGCCCATAAAATGGAAGTGGTAGTTTCCACCGGCTAAAAACCTGTTGGTTTTTGATTTTTTTTTTTATGCAAGTGCAATTTACAAAAACTAACGTTGATTTTTTTAAATTTTGTTGCGAACGGTCTTGCGCATTTTGTTTCATAAGAAATTAGTGCTTATATGAGAAAAGTGTTTTTTTGGCTGGCACAATTTTTAAACTTTCCTTATTAATATTAAAATTAAAAAAATTATTAATATTAAAATTAAAATTACCTTCAGCGTCTCTACAAACCCCCTACACAACACAAATGGCTTGCAGCAAAGCGATATTTCGCTTGGTTTTTCAAGCAGCTTGTGTGGTGTATTTCGCTCTTAAGCGTAGTTCCCCAGTATTTTCAGAAAAATAGCCGAAAACGTACCCTTTTCGCAACCATTTTCGGTACTTATGTAGACTTAATCCGAGTTTCATCCACTTAAGCAAAAAACAAAACCGACTTCAATTCCCATATAAAAATTTAAGGTTATCGTTAATCTTTTTATGATACAATGATCTGATTTAAATTAGAATGGGACCACCTGTGAGGTAACACCTTTCCTTAAAAAAACTAATTATAGTAATCGGTTTACGTGGTTCAAAGCTATGCGATAATATACATACAAAAATAAAAAAATATTCCGACGAATTGATAACCGTCTTCCTTTTGTGAAGTCGGATAAAAACAAATACACCAGCAAGCTTTCAGCGCCAAATGATTTCAGGATAAAATTGTCAAAGCTCCCAATAAACTTATAGGAAATAATGAAATCATCGAAAAGTTTGGGAATTCCTGTTGAAGAGAGTAAAACACTCATATTTCAAAATGGTTCTCTTTTTTATAAATCAATCGCATTTCTGGCTAGTATATTTCAGGGCGAATGGATAAGGATTGAGCCAAGAGCTTGTGTAAGCAAATCTAATTTTTGGCAGCAAATGTAAGTTACGCGGTTTTGTACTTTAAACGACGATATGTATGTACTAGGGATGTTAATTTTTTCGCTTTTTACGATCCCGGGATTTTTGGGATGTCGTTATCACAATTCCGGAATCCTGGGATTTAAAATTTTTTTACTTTTCAACAACTTTAGTCGAAAAAATAGCTTCTACCTCACCTACCATAAAATAAATAATAAATAAATGGGTTTGAAACCTACTTTTTTATTTAAAGTGGCGTTTTTATTTTTTCTCTTGACGTCAGGGTTTATTTTAAGGGAGTTTATAATTTCAAAGATATGATTAATTCCAAAAATTTTTTAAAAAAGTTCAATGCAATTCAGAATAAATATATCGAGCCCTAACCGCCAAAATAGCGTTAGCGACATTTATTTTTTAGTTTTCTTTTTGATGCAGAAATATTCCTAGAGCATCTAAATTAAAAAAAAATGTCGCTTACGTTATTTTGGCAGTTAGGGATCGATATGTGTACCAAATAAATATTCACAATACGCCAAATCTTAGAAAAGACCCGCGAGAAATGGATCGACACTCACCACATATTTGTTGACTTTAAAGCCGCTTTTGACAGCCTATACGCCGCTATGTCTGAATTTGGCATCCCCTCAAAACTCATACGGCTGTGTAAAATGACGTTGAGCAATACCACCAGCAACGTCAGAATTGGGAAAGACCTCCCGAGCCGTTCGCCACTAAACGGGGTTTCAGACAGGGCGAATTTCTTTCGTGTGACTTCTTTAATCTGATGTTGGAGAAGATAATAATAGTTGCAGAACTGAACCGCTCAGGAACAATTTACTACAAGAGCAAGCAATTTCTGGCCTTGCCGATGACATCAATATCATTGGTATCAAAAACCGCGAAGTCTGTTCTGCCTTTTCCAAGTTGGATACGAATGGGTCTGGTGGTAAACGAGGACAAGACGAAGTGTCTCCTGTCATCAAACAAACAGTCAGCACATTCGCGCCTTGGCACCCACGTCACTGTTGACAGTTACAATTTTGAGAAAGTAGAGAATTTCATTTACTTGGAAACCAGCATTAACACCGATAATAATGTCCGCATTGAAATCCAACGTAGAATCACTCTTGCCAACAAGTGCTACTTTAGACTGAGTAGTCAATTCAGGAGTAAAGTCCTCTCTCGGTGAAGCGGCTCTTAGAGTACGGGCCTTTACGCGTTGGCGACGGCGAGTACCGCAGACAATGGAAAGATGAGCTGTATGAGCTTTACAACGACATGGACATAATTCAGCGAATTAAAATACACCGGCTCCGCTGGCTTGGCCATGCTTCAGCTCCGAAAGTATTCCACTCGGAACCCACTGGTGGTAGATCAGGTGGAGAAGGACTTGGCTTCACTTGGCGTTTCCAATTGGCGTCAGTTGGCACAGAAGAGACTGGCGTGCTTTGCTGAACTCGACCAAATTCGCTTAGGCGGCTACAGCGTCAAATAAGAAGAAGAAAAGTAGCAAATGGAAGAGAAATTAAAATTTTTTGTGTTAGCAAGGACGAATAGGTAATTTTTTAAGCTGATAAAGTTAGAAGGACGAAGTTCGAGGATGTTATCGGATTTATATAACTTCTTAACATATAATTTGATTGAGTTTTTTAAATCATTTTTGAATTACTGACGTCAGAGTGAAAAACGAGCACACCTAAAAGTTAAACGTTCTAAAAATAGAATTATTAACAAAAACCAACAAAACCAAAAACCACATGATCAAGTTTAAATAGCACTGGAATATCTGCGCTTGGTTGTATTTGGCTTACAAGAAAAAAGTGGATAAAGCAACAACAGAATATAAGGCGAACTTAGCACAGTGCGTAGGCAACTGGCTGAGTCAGCTGTGGTCGTCGGTTCGAATCCTGCTGAAGAAGTCTGATAAGGAAATGTGGTGATTTCCGAAATAGCTATCACTTCTACCATTTTTTCAAATTGTGGTTGCTTTTCCACAATAGTTTTTCATTAAAAGCGGCCTCAATCTCAATAAAAAAATTTTAATATAATTGTTATAAGGCCATAACTAATAAAAGAATTTATAAATATATATTTTATATTATTATATTATTATTATTACATTATACTTTGTACGTATGCAATGTAATTGACGTTTTGGAAGTCAGCCTTTTTGAGGTCGTCGTATTCCACACTATGGATACTTTGGCTGCTTGGGTATATGTATGTTTATATGGAAATGAATTGGTTACCTTTGAACATTGCTATTGTTGAGAAGCGGCGCCGCTTTCTCACCGTTATGACTTCCGCCTGGCAGATACTGCAGTAATTTTGTAGTTTTAGTGACTTTTTTACCACATTATACAAATTTTTTCAACGGTAACTACAGGTACTCTGGGCGTGTGTGAATCGGTAACAAAGTTCTATGGGGAAAGCTGTTGAATAATATTTTTACTATGGTGAGACAGTTTTGAAGTGAAATTAATATTTTGAGAAAACATCTACCATCGTTGATTGCAATTTATCAATTTAAGCTTTTATTTAACGAAAAATTACACACATCAACAACCTTTGCGATTGTCAAAATTTTCTATACATTTGTCAAAAATTTACTCGCCGCGAACTTTGTTACCGATTCACACACGCTCTTTGTGTTAAACTAAGAGAAACGTTGGCTGCTCAAAACAAAATTCCGCAAATTGCATAACGAGGTGTTTAAACCTTAATCGAGCGAATACCAGGCAGCTGAGATGGAAGGTACCCATTTACCTGGGGTTTTCAAAATTGGTAATCGGTACAAAAAAATCGATATCGAGTAAAGTTTCGACAAATTGCGACTAAGTCTTTTATTTTTGTACATTTGTGCGTCAGCGCTTGTAGCAGCAGTAGTTGTCAATAGTTTTTAGTTAATTAAAAATATTTTCTGTCAAATTGAGATATAGTAAATTTTTTTATTTTCATTAAAATATTTTTCTGAACAGCACGGTACGTTTTTTATCCTACGCGGGATTTTTCTATCTTAAGTGATATATTGACTGGTTTAGTAGTTATATTCAAATATTGACCACAACAACTAACTTACAATTTTTCGATTCTAGCTAATGACCCAAAGCCATGCCAGTACGGTGACAGAGCTTGTTTAATGAGTACTATTGAATACCTGATGCATAACAAGTCTCAAGGTAAGATTTTCTACAAATCGTTCGATTTTAAATCGGTGCATTTTGCAAAATTTATTTTAGAAAATTTCTCATTAAAGTGCCAACAATTTGCCACGAAATCGATATTTATCTAACAGTTTTAACTCAAAATATCAGGGACCGTAACGGTTATAACTTTCATAATAAAAATTACTTTTTAATAGTTATTAACTGAGTTTTATTTTTTGCTCGGTCGTTATGCTATTTTTGGGGTTTAATTTTTTGCTCGGAAAATAATCGTTACGTTTTAAGATTTATTTTTTGTGCTCGGAAAATAATCGTTACTTTTGAGTTTTATTTTTTGCTCAGAAAGTAATCATTATGTTTTGAGTTTTATTTTTTGTTCGGAAAATAATCGTTATGTTTTAAGTTTTATTTTTTGCTCGGAATATAATGGCTATTTTTTGAGTTTTATTTTTTGCTCGGAACATAATCGTTACGTTTTAAGTTTTATTTTTTGATCGGAAAATAATGGCCATTTTTTGGGGTTTTATTTTTTGCTCGGAAAAATAATCGTTACGTTTTAAGATTTATTTTTTGTGCTCGGAAAATAATCGTTACTTTTGAGTCTTATTTTTTGCTCAGAAAATAATCATTATGTTTTGAGTTTTATTTTTTGTTCGGAAAATAATCGTTACTAGAGTGCCAGTAACTGTCGAAATTCGACAATTTTTCTAGTTTTAGAAGCCTTGGAGAGGTATTCTAACTTAACACGTAGCAAAACTTATACGGTACAAATTAACTAACTGGAAAATCTTCTGCTAAAACGTTTAAATTTTTTTTATCTGAGAAGGTCTTTGAAGGACTTCGGCAGGACTTGGAATTGGCCCGATACATTCAAGTTCGATGATGTTTTAAGTTTTATTTTTTGCTCGGAATATAATGGCTATTTTTTGAGTTTCATTTTTTGCTCGGAACATAATCATTACGTTTTAAGTTTTATTTTTTCGGAAAATAAAACTAAATTTTTGCGTATGCGTATGCGCATGCGTGAATACACAGGGGGGCAAAAATAGAATTATGTACGGATTTAAACGAAAACTCGTTCTTAGTAAAATTGAGGACGCTAAATTCAAAAATGCCATTTGTTTAGATAACTTTCATACTTTCACTGTAAATGCAGTTTGAAGTTGAAAATTTGCGTTCTTGTGGCTTTTAGTTCGTTCTATTTTCGAGAGTGAGATGTCAAATCACAGGGCTTGGCCTGTAGATGTGCAATAAAGTTTTTTTTTATTTTTGAAAAGGGTTGCCACCTGTTACAAATTTTATTAAAATTATTTAATAAGTTAAATGAATTAGATATTGCAATATGGGTATCAATTGAACTAGTTTTGAAAATACTTTACTTCTAAACGACGCATGTTTAAAAAAAAAAATCACTTTAATTAAGGTAATAATGTAACTGAAATATGTATATCCATATAAGTATCAAACAAATGAAAAAATGTGACATATTTAGCAAGAAATAAGTGAAGAGTAAAAACACTCCTGATTTAATTTAAGAGTCCAGTAAATTAAAAGAAATGTAATCATCTTCATCTTCAACTCTATCTCCATTTTCATCTCCATCTTCGTCTTAATCTTAATCTTCATCTTCATCTCATCTTCATCTTCATCTTCATCTTCATCTTCATCTTCATCTTCATCTTCATCATCTTCATCTTCATCTTCATCCTTTCTATCTTCATCTTCATTTTCATCTTCATCTTCATCTTCATCCTTGTCCTGTTCTTCATCTTTATCATTAGCTTGATCCTTCAATATACGTTGTAAGTGTCTGTGGCTTTATCGTTGCCCTTGTCTATGTTTTTGCCCTTATTTCTTGCTTTCTGCGTCTCATTACCCACTCCACAGTGACGTTAAAAGTCCAACGTAGCCGCCCCCGCATGCGCATAAATTAAGTTTTATTTTCTGAGCAAAAAATAAAATTAAATTTTCCGAGCGAAAAGTTAAAACTTAAAACATAAAGAGCAAAAAAATAAAACTCAAGAAATAACGATTATTTTCTGAGTAAAAAATAAAACTCAAAAAATAATTATTTTGCTTACAAATACTAGAAACAATTTTCCGAATTTCTCCGATTTCAAATCGTATGATTACTAAAACACAACGTACAAAAATAATATATTTTAAAAACTTGTAGGCTTCGCCTCGCTAAATTTAGTTAAGACCGAGCCTTTAAGAGTTGCAAAGATGGTAATGAAGCAAGGTGCTGAGAGTCCAGTCAACATTGATTTGACCTTTATCAATAACGATATAACTGGCTATAGCAGAATCAAGATGAAAGATGTGAAGTATGTACGATGATTGCTGGTTTTTATACGCACACACAAATATAGTTCTTTAAGAAAGTATCAGGGCAATTCTGGCTAAGATAGTTGAAGGTCTTTTGTAAGGCAATTGAAAGACATTAGGGAAGATATGTAGTTTGAAAGATTTTGTTTATTCTGGCACGAAATTCTTACAAAATAAAATTATAGTTTAAACAAGTAAGAAAGTCTAAGTTCGGGCGGAGCCGAACATTAAATACCCGGCGCAAGTATTAAATATATGTTTTTTCAGATTTCTTTCCGAAACCTTCTGCTAGATGGTAAGCCGGGTGTATCAATTTTAAGTAAATTAGCGTCCTTCAATTTCGAAATATTGAAGTTTCAAGCATTTCTGAAATTTACCGTTATATGAAAAGCGGCCGTAATTTTAGTCAGATTTCAATAATTTTCAAGGTTTTGCTTATATTTGGCAAGCACAATAACCACACCGAGTTTTGTACACATT